GAGAAGATCCCCTTTGTCTAGAGCCCAGCTTCTTTAGAGTCACCCAAAATGTTCTCTAATAAGTTTATATGTTGATATATTTTATTATTTATATTTATACACTTAAACCTTATTTTATATATATTTACACTAATTATGTTATTAATTGTTGCAGTTTAACTAGAAGTTATTATTAGTGCATTATAGAGATATTTTGGAGAAAATTTTGATATTTTAGTCCTTGTTATACTATGTGAACTTGAGTTTGAATTTTGAATTTAAAATTTAAACTTAGATAAAGATTTGAAGCTATTTTCAGTTAAGATTTTGATTGTGGATAAAACTAGTTTAAAAAGATTGAGCTTAACCAACCAGAAACTTAGGTCACAGCCTATATAAAGAGGCCATATACTCCACACTGAGGACACTTCGACTTCTCTACACACCTTTTTTCCCTTCTTAGTTCTACCTAAACTCATCTTTGAGAGTCATTAGAAGCCATTGGCAAGGACGACAAGCTTCCCCTTGGAGTCCAAACAAGTGATTGAGCACCCTTTCGAAGAACAAAAACGTTCTTTATCTTTTACCTTTCTAGGTTTCTTTTGTTTGAGTTTTTCATTGTGGTTATGCGTTTATTTATCACGTTCTTCGTTGTTTATTTTGTTTTAAGTAACTAAACCCATAGTTATGGTTATGGCAGATCCTACTACAAACTTTATGTGATTTTTACGTTAATGTTGGTATTAGTTTTCCTTTAATGTTTGGTTTTATTCTATTGGATTATATTGTGTATGTTAAGATTTGATCACCCTTAGCATCCCATAGGTAGTTGCATTGTAGGCGATCGTACCACGTGTAATTAACGGAACTATAGAATAAAACGAGATAAGGGATTAGGTTAATCACACTTAATTCCTTTCTTTCAGCCGTTATTGAATTAACAAACTCATAGGATCTTCATACTTTCTCGACCAATTACCTTGCATGATCATTGGCGGTGTTTGCTCAAAGAAAAGAATATTGACATTGCATAATCATTGGGTGTTAATAGAACTAATTATGAGTGGTTGGCAAATATTTGAATACCAATATCAGGATTAAATTAATTAAAACATAAAGAAGTGTAGTAAGTAAACCCCATAAGTTCTAGGCTTATCTCATCTGATCACTTTCATACATTCTATTACTGTTCTTTAAATTTATTGTTAAAATTAAGCTATGTTTTTAATCCGTTACAATCCAGTTATGTTTAAACAATCAAATTAAGTTATTCTTAGTACTTGAAAATAATTTATGTGAGACGATAACTTAATAACTCTTAATTCAAAAACTCTTTATTACTTTTTGATAAGTACACTTGTCTACGAACATTCTCTACCCTTACCAAATTAGCAGAAAACATGAATGAATTCTCATCATCTCGATTATGATATCAAATAAGAGAATTATTCTTTCTCTTTCCTCTAACAACCATTATCCCCCACGGTTGCCACCTCAGCAATCACATCCCTTTTCTTTTTCTTCCTAACATATACTTTTCAAGTCACAGGCCCTTCAACTCGTGTCTGGGCCAAAGGCTCTTGAGGCCCTTTGTTTACTTGGGCCTCATCAGCATGCCGTAGAAGTTTTAATGCAATTGACTCCTCATGATAGTGGGGCATATGTAGCTCTCTCAAACATGTATGCCTCATCAAGGGATTGGGATGCCATTGCAGAGGTGAGGTTGATGATAAAAGACATGGACATAAGGAAAGAAGCTGAATGTAGTTGGATTGTAATTTATGGTGTTATTTATGAGTTCCTTGTTGAAGATGATTCCCATCCTAGAGCCAAAGACAAATGCACAATGTTGAAGGAAATTTCAAACATGTTGAGCTTAGAAGGTCATATGCCAGACACCACACAAGTGTTGCTCAAGATTGATGAGAAACATAAAAAAAGTGTTCTGCACTACCATAGTGAGAAGATTTCTGTTGCTTTTGGCTTAATTAGTACACCCCCAAAGACTCCACTTAGGATTGTAAAAAATTTGCGAATTTGTGAAGATTGCCATTCGTCAATGAAATTAATCTCCAAAATTTATGAGCGTAAGATAGTTAGTCGAGATAAGAAGCGCTTTCACCATTTTGAACACGGTTCATGTTCTTGTATGGACTACTGGTAGTAATAGAGTTGCCTGTTGGTGAGTGCAATTACAAATGTCTATTATGCTAACTTAAACTAACTTCCCTTCATCTCCGTAAATAGAGCCTTTCTTTGTACTGATGAATGTACTCAAAAGGGCATTTTTCAATGCTTCAGAAATAAGAATATCTTTCTTTCTTTTGGTCCTAAGCAAGATTTTGATATTCATCTTGCTAAGACATATGCTCAATCTTTCTTTCTTTCTTTTGGCCCCTATTACTACAATCTATTTTTAATTTAACATTTCCGACCCTTACCAGATCACCATTTTGCACTATTGATCTTTATGATTTGTTCTTAATTATATTTATTGGACTAAATTTAATGTTTACATTTTTAAACTTGGCGTGAGTACTATTAATATGGAATTTGTATAGGATTCTATATGAAAATAGACATTTTAGGACAAGCTCTTTTTTAGGTATTTGTAATAATAATAGTAATAATTAAAATTCTCCCCCTGCTTGGAGTCTTGGCGACATTTTTGTCCACAAATATATAATATTATATATACTCTTTTTTCATTCGTATCTCATGTTGCATTTAATAATTAGAATTTCACAAATTACACTTAATTGTTTTTCGGTATTTGGTTTGCTTCTGACATTCATCACGTTGTGGAACTATCTATCACATAGGATTCCTTTAAGCAGTTAAAAAGTTGACCGACAGAGTAGAATAGCAGTTATCGTTTAAGGTGTAACATTATATTGTTATCCCTTGTTTTAAATTGTGTTGATAATTAAAAAATATCATTTTAAAAAACAAATAATTAGACAAAATAAAGCATAAATGAAAGTAAAGTTAGATAAAAAATAATAATGTTTTATATTTTCATGACAATATAATTTTTCATTACTCATCGTAAGAATAAAATAAAATAGAGTATTACTAAATAAAACTCAAAACTGATTCTTTTAAATTTAATGTTTGTAATTAGATAATTTTAATGTAAAATATAGAGTGATAGATAGAAGTAACGTGAATGCCTCCTCAACAACAAGGTGTATGTTAAATACTATTGCACATACATACTGAACATCCTTATTAAAACAAATATGTTATTATTATACAAAAGAAATTAGATATTGTCCTCATACAATTTTTTCTATCTATTATCTAAAAAAGCTATGAAAACATAGTATTTAGAAATTATGAACGCAGGACACACAAAATCCAACGTGCATTGCGCAAGTACCAGGTTAATTTTAAGGAAGAAACTGGATTTTTATGGTGTCTTCTAGAAAAATGCTGCCCCGTTACAATGACCAAGACAATACCATACCAATAACCAAACTCGTAGTCACAATAGCAAAATTTAAAAAAAAAATGTCTCATCAACTCAAGTAGCTCTATTTATTTAATCTCTGTACCAACTGTATTATTGGTATATTCATGTCAAGTATCTGCATAAAATCATAGAAGAAAGAAAAAAAATTACTAACATGTATTATTTTAATAAATATTTTGAAATTGTTCAATGAAAAGTATGATATACAAGACTTAAACACGTAAACAAAATATCAATAGATAAATTACCAAAACTTCTCTAAATACATCAATCATGAAGTGTTATTTTACAAATGACAACACATATTATCTTAAGCCATAAATAAATGAGTTTCTAAAATAATTTTTATAATGTTTTTAATTTTAAAAATTTCTCTTCAATTTAATCTTATTTAATAAAAAATAAATATTTATTTATTGATATTTATAAAATTCATTAAATTAAATTTTTATTTTATTTTTATTTAAAAATGTATTTACTTTTAATAATACCAGTACAATGCATTAAATACACAGTTAATATAAATTTGAAGACAGACTCCAATATTGTTTAACAGTTGAAAAATAATTTTATTAGAATAATTTATATTTAACTTTGAAACAAATGCATACTAACTCATAACTATTTAAAAGTATTTTGTTAGTAATGCAAAAACACGAAGTTTACATTAAAACAAAAGCAAAAACTGTTTTGATATTGTAAATAATTAATTCGTTTTTAAAAATTAAACCGAAACCAGTTGAAAGAAAAGGATATCAATACCTTTATGATCAGTAACCCAAGCTAATATGACCTATTAATGTAAGTTGCAGATTAATTAGCAATTTTTGTATAGTTATCAGTACAATCGATATAGCATGCAAATCAATTTCAACCTAATTATTTATTTATTTCTTTATTATGTATAATGATTTATATTTATTAAGATCATTGTCGCGTTGTGGGTGGAAAAATAGCATTTTTGAAAATTGAGTTTTAATTTAAAAAATTTATAATAATATTTCTGTGAGTGAGTTTGATATAAAAGTAATTTAATAATTAAAAAATAATATAAAATTATTTAAAATAATTATTAATTTATCTTTTTTTATTTTAAATATTATATTTTTAAATGATCTCATGTATTTTTGAAGCATTCGTAAGAGATGTTGTGTGGATTGATTGTTTTATAAGAAATTAAAATGGAAAAGAATTAGGTAAAAATTAGTTGCTTTTAAGTCAAAATAGTTATTAATAAAATATATATAGATAAGTGGAAAGTGACTTGGAACATAAGGTATTTTGATTGGATTTCAATATAAGTGTACTTGGAGAACAATGTCCTATGATAAATATCAATTATTATTTTATTTAAGTGGCACTTCATCACATCAAATATTCAATCGTGAATTATATAACAAGTTAATGAATAAAAGCATTAAATTTATTCTCACATAGAAAATAATAAAGAACTAACTCGGAATTACAGAAAAATAAAAAGGAATTCCAAAAAGAATTTATAAGCTCAAACATTAACAACGTATAAAGAATAGCAGTGAGCTTCTTGGACTGGAAAATTGCACTTGTAGATCAAATTTAATGTAAAATACACAGTGATCAATACGACTAAGAACATTAATGTCCTCTCAAAAGTTAGGTACAAGTAAGATTAAGAACATCAATACCTTTTTAACAACTAAGTACATGTTATAGAACATGGCATACATATTGAACATATGGATTAAAAAAGTTACCAATTAAAGAAATATGTTATTACTGTGCAAAAGAAATTAATTAACTACTATACTCACAAATATTTTCTATCTACTATCTAAAAAACTATAAACTCATGGCATTTTTAAAATATGAGGATCCAACTTGGCATTGCACAAACACTAAGGAAGAAATTAAGTTCTTATGACTTTTTCCAGAAAGAAGTTGCACCATTATGCTGGCCAACATAATGCTCGTAAACTCAAATATGTCTACTCTTTATCTCTAACTATCTCTGCAACAAAAACAATAAAGAAAAAGAAAGTTAATGTGCATTATTTTAGCAAATCTATTTAAAATTATACAATAAAAAAACATGATAAATAAAACTTAAGCATGCAGATAAAATATCAATTAATAAAGTAACAACTTATTATCTTATGTCATGAATAATTGAACTTAGTTTTAATTTATAAAATATTCTCTTTAATTTCATCTTATTAATATAATTAAATATTTATTATTAATAATTAAATGTTTACTTATAAAAATTGTTAAATTATGTAACATTTTAATTTTAATTTAAAAATTATATTTTTTAATAATATCAGTGCAAGGAAAAAAAAACTTATTAACATTAAATATACGATAGTTTATACCAATTTAAACACCGACTCCGATATTGTGTAACCATTTAAAATTAATATTATTAGGATAATTTCAATTTATCTTTGAAACAAGTGAACATTGACTCAAAAACTAGTTCGAAGTATTTTATTAGCAAAAGAAATAGGCCCAATAATTGTTGAGTTACACTACATTTATACTAAACCATAGAAAAGGGGGCATCAGTACCTTTTTGATGGAATCAAGAAGGATAATTTGTGGGATGTGTGAGATTTGGCGACTAACAGCACTTTTCTCTCTTCGGCATTCTTTAAGTAAGAGGCGGCAACTCATAACCTCAAAGATCTTTAAGTTGGTAAGACGACTCATTCCTTCGGGCAGCAATGCAGTTGGTAAGACGACTCAAAGATCTTTCGGCAATATTCGATTTTGAATTTTGATACGCTGAAGCGACGAGAGAAGTCAGATTTTGAATCAAGTCAGATTTTGAATCGAGGTTGCAAATCCAATCTGGCGAAGCCTTTAGGTTTTGACAGAAATATATCCTGATTTGTCGCAGAGAAGGAAGGCAGTTGGTGTCGTCCTTAAACCAAGTCTCAAATTCCTCCAGTGTTTCATTTTCAGACCATATAATTTCAAGAGACTCGAGAGAAGTCAGATTTTGAATCCAACCCTTCGGAAAATCCGTAGGACCAGAAATCGTCAATTGTTTGAGCATGGAAAGAGGAGCAGCGGAGGAAGATGAGTCAGCTGAACATGTTAACACTGTTGAGTTTAGGGTTGCTATCAATAGCTCTGCACTCGATCTACGCCACTCTAAATCCTTAACTTTTGGAAAAGTTGGCATGGAAGTCAACTTTGGACAGAAAGAGACATGTAGTTGAGAAAGACGAGGAAATGAAAGAGGTAAGGAGAGATTATGTGAATTCTCATTGATATCATCTCCCCGCCTCCGCCATCCCCTAAGATTAGAGCAAAACTCTAATTTGAGGCTCTCCAAAGAGGGGAAGAAGGTTACAGCAGAATCGTCTTCATCAAGATCTATGTATTCCAATTCTTCAAGACTTTCTATCTCAAGTGACTTCAGTGACGGGAGACGTTCCAACGGTGGGAGACAGGGACAATTTTGAAACTCAAGGAGAGTGATGTGAACAACATTTGTGAGGAGAGAAAGCCAGTTTGGGAAATGCTGGCCTGGATACCACTCCCCCGTCAATCGCTTAAGATTACGGTGGGGCTGAAGGTTTTCTAATAATTGGAATCTTTCATGGTTACGGTTGGCTTCACGGCTAGGGAAGTGATCACGACTCCAATGTAGAGTCAAGGACTGAAGAAACTTTTTTTCTTTTAAATTTACATCACGTGATTCCAGAGCCACGTCTCTAACACGATCGAGATGCTTAATTTCTAAGTTGCCTCTTAGGTTTAAGTCCTTCAATTCATTTAGTGTGCCACATCTTGTTTTTTGGCTATCTCTCACGACAAAGATGGGTAAGAATTGCAACAAAGATAATAATTTTCCCCACCCAACTGCCATCCCACTCAAGGACTCGTAATCAAAAACCTCAAGCCATCTCAAATTCACTAATTTTGTGACCACTTCGGAAAATGATTCTTCATCGCAGTTCTTCAATTTTAATGTTTGCAGGAAAACAAGATTGCTCATATATTTGGGAAGACTTGGTGGTTGTTCAAATGCTTCAAGGTATCTTAAATGCTTCAAATTTTCAGAGAAATTGAAAAAGCAAAATCCACCCATCTTCAAGACGCGTAAGTATTTGAACTTTGCAACTGACAAATATTTCTCCTTTACAAAGTTATACGGCAAAATCAAAGTTCGCAGCCTGCTCGGGTCTAATGATTCCAACAAATGAATGGCATTGGATTCCAATGACACGTGCATAGGTCTACCCTTAACTTCTGTTGCTTCACTGTCCAAGTAAAAATAATCATTGCCAGCAACCATCGCTGCAAGATCATGCATTAAATCATGCATTTTGAATCTTTTGATCTCACCATATTCATCAATCTCTGCATCTTGAAAAAATGAATTCATCAACAAAATCTTTACAAATTGGTCACCGACATCCTCCATGTGCTGTTTTTTAGTTGAACATTTAATGTAACCCTGTGCCATCCATAACTGAATCAACTCATTCTTTGAAATTCTTGAATCCTTAGGATATAAAGAGCAGTAAGCAAAACATTGTCTCATTTCTGTCGACAAGTTGTGGTAACTGAGTTTTAGAATTGGCATAATACTGTCTTACTCTTTACATAAGTTCCAGAAGTCACCACGTGAAACATCTTCCCATTCACTTTCTTCCGTTTGTCCTCGTAACATGCCTCCCAGCGTTTTAACTGCTAGTGGAACACCTTTACATTTTTTTGCTATTTCTTTCCCCATTGATTCTAGATTTTGATTCACTCTTTTGTACTCATCCTCAAATGCAATGTTCCTCAACAAATTCCAAGATTCTTCATCGGTCAAACCTTCCAAAAGATAGGAAGTGCTGGCAGTCATTGCCTTTGCTACATTTTGACTTCGAGTGGTCATTAAAATCATGCTATCTTGAGCACCACACATCAAGTACTTTCTCAATTTATCCCATTTGTCATAACTCTCATTCCAAACGTCATCCAGGACCAACAAATATTTCTTACCACTTAAATTTTTTTGAAGCTCTTCTTGCAAGTAGTCTAATGATGACCAGTCTGCTGTTTGGCAACGAGTAACTGATTGTAGTATTTTCTTCAGAATAGTTTTCACCTCAAAGTTATCAGAGACACACACCCACATTTTCTTTTCAAAAACATTCTGCACTTCCAAGTCATTATACACCAATTGTGCAAGAGCTGTCTTCCCTAAGCCACCAATGCCAACAATAGCAATCACAGAAACTTTCTGCTTTTCACGTGGTTGTCTCAACAGACTAATAATCTCCTTTTTGCTATCATCTCTTCCAATGATATCAGATTCTAACACAAAAGAACATGTTTCCCTCCATTCACTGTCTTGCTTAAACAGCCTTGGGCTTAATTTCAATTTATCCATGTCTTTTACTACACCCTTAAAACTTTCTCGTATTTCTTCAATTTTGCGAGGCATTTCATTGTATAAAGGAATTTGATTTGAAGATGAAATGGAACGAAGCACCTTGTTTACTTCTTTTCCTTCTGCTGCATCCAATTTGTCTCTCTTAAGTTGGAAAGCAAGGTCATCTAAGAAGTCATCTGCAGCATGAAATACTTCTTTGAAGTCAGATATCCAATTACGCACACGAACCTCTTTTTCTTGTTTGTAATCAGCATCAAGAAGCACATCATTGATAGATCCAATTGTCTTCTTAAGCGCTTCCAAATCTTTCATCACAGCATACTCCTGTTCAAATTCAAGAAAATCTGGGGAAGCTAACCTGTGAATAAGAGTTGATGCAACAGCAAATGGAACTGACTCAAACTTGTATTGATATTGAAAGAGAGGAATGCAAATTTGTAAGAAAAGAAAGGAACACAAATCTATATAACGAAATGAACAATGCAACAATCTCATCTACACGTACTATATCCTTAGCTGAGACTAGACATAACTTTTTCCAACTTCACCGACATTTCAAAACTTGAATATAACTATGTTCTATATTTGTTTTTCTTTCTTTGTTTTTTGGACCGCAAAATACATCTATCTTTGCACGTTTAATTCATTTAAATTATATAAGATATCCATTTTTTATTTGATTTTTAGAACATTTACGTCAATCATAGTTACTGAACCAGACCTAACTCAACTAGAATACTAAGTTAGGATCACTTATTCGACCTTTTCCTTCAAAGTGCCTCTCTCTCTCTCTCTTTCTCTTGAACGCGTATCATGGAAGACGGCATGGCATGCATGCATGGAAACAGAGAGTGCTATCCACTTTCTCTTGCCAATGAAGATCATATTGGCTCTCTTGTCGTGCATGCGTTCAAGTTTTTATTTATATTTAATATAAACTATGATTAAATTATATGTATTAAATTAAATATAAATACATATTTTAATTATTGATTTAAATAAATTCTTGTGCTCAAAATCTTTTCAAATAATATTTGTTAAAAATTGAATAGTACAAAAAAGCACTTCAAACAAAAGAAATAATATTTTTTAAATTTAATTCGAAGTATAATTTTTATGATGACCAAGTAGTCTATCAACTTGGTCATTCTTAAAAAAATATCTTTTAGGAATTATGTTTTTATTAAGTTGTTTTAATTTTTATATTAAAAATAAGTTATTCAAATCCCCTTTAAAATTTATAAGTGATCGCTATAATATCTTTTCATTTTAATTATAAGGTTTTGATGCTTTAATTATTGAATACTAAACATACATTAAATATTTTTACACATTAATTATAGCCAATTACATAAAATTAACTCATACTATCTTTTATAAATATAAATTGTAATGTAAAGGATTTATGAATAATATTTTCTATAAATAAAACAATTTTATTTAAAAGATATTTTAAAAATATGGTCAAATATTTTGTCCTCGTGTTTAAAACAATATTATAATATTTTAATCATATTATTATATTATCTATATTTTTAAAAATATAAAATCAAAATAGAATAATTTTTTATAGTATAAAATTATAAAAGTAATTAAATAATATTATGCAGATAAAATATTAGTAACATGTTACTCTAGTATTAGTAATATGATTAATTATTTTAAATAAAATATGAATACAATATTTTTTAATATTTTCTACCTGTTGAAAAAATATATTTTTATTTAATTTATTATATATTTAATATTTTGATGATTTGTATAATATTTAAATATTATTATTTCTATAATTTATCCAAATTATAACATCTATTACTTTGTTTCGTTAATATAAATTGTTCTTTTTTCTATTTTGTTTTTACAATTGTCTGATAATTTTATTTTAAATCACTCTAATATCATTTAATATTTTTAATATTTTTATATAAAAAAGTATCTGAAAAATCTAAAATAATCTGTATAAAATATGCATGCTATGTTTAGTTGAAAATAGAATTATGTCATTATGACATATATATATATATATATATAATACAAATGTTTGAATTCAATTAAAATGAATAATAAAGGAACCAATAATTTCAAATAATGAAAGTATATTTTCCAATTTTAAATTGTTACACACTTTATTGGTATCATTTTTGGCCTATTTCGGTTGTTAATACGTCTGAATTGAGTTCATGGTGCTGAATTTAAAAGTTATATAAACTTATGGTACTAAATATTAATAGATATCGTACTAAATTTTTACTTTTAAAATTTAAATATTAACTGACACACCATAATATTACTACTGAATTTTTTGTATATTGCATGGTATTATTAAATTAAATGATTTTTTTTACTAATAATTAAAAATATATATTATACAACTATTTTAAAATTTCACAAATTTATAAACTAAAAAAATATTGTAACTATTAATAATAAATATTTAATTAAATTAGGTAAATATTTAAAATTTAAAGTAACATTAAGTTATAAAATTTTCTAAATCTAATTTAATAATAAATTAAAATAAATAAATAATATTAAAAATCACCTGGCATAATAAAAATAATAAAACCAAACTTTGAAAATTTTCTTAATGACTTTCTTAAAATTCACACTCATAAGTTATATATAAAACTTTGTTATCGGATATTAATATAATGCATTTTAAAATGTTGTCTATTGTTGTTTCTTCATATACCTGATATTAATTAAATTTTTAAGTGTTCTTGTAAGAACATTGTTAAATACTAAGTTTGTGAGTTAGCAAAAGCATTTAATCTTAACACAACGCAGAGTAACCTATGAGTTTTTAGACATACGTATGAAGCCTTCGAACCACAATCGAAATATACGCTAAATTCTGTTCAAGTTCAAGAAAATCTGCAGAAGCTAACCTGTGAATGAGATTTGAAACAACAGCAAATGGAACTGACTCATACTCAGCCATGAGAGAGAGAATGATGAAGAAGGGTTGAGAATGACGTTGAAAGAGAGGAATGCAATTATGTGTGAAAACAGTGAGGAAAGGAGCACAAATCTATATAATGAAATGAATGATCTCAAACTAGACCTAACTTTTTCCAACTTTCACCGCGTTTCAAAACTAAAATAAATGTGGACCACACAATGTTTATCTTTACACGTTTAATTCATTTAAATTATATAATATATTCATTTTTTTATTTGAGTTTTACAACATTTAAATTATATAAGATATTTGAAATTAAACCAAAAAAATAAATATAAACACATAAATGTAAAAAACAGTGCTATATGGACCCAGGAATTAGGAAAGGACCACAAAAGCCAAAAAAAAAATGAAATGAATGATGTAAAGTAGGCCAATCGTACCACCACGCGTTTTTCAACTTTCACCGATATTTCAAAAGTAGAATAACTATACATCATACACTCTCTTTTTTCTTTGTCTTTTTGGACCCACAATGTCTATCTTTACATCGATAACTAGTTTATGAATTTTGCTTTTAAGACACCGATTAAGAAATTTAAAAATGTAATATGTTTTTTATTTTGAGAATTAAAATAGAAATACACTGAAAATCACAATTGATGTGCATTTAACAGTATTTTTTTCATTAAAAAAAATCTCTTTCAATTTCTTAATAGCATTTTTCTTGGTCAATAAATGTGAATCTAAGTGACAACTAATTGATTTCTATTGAAGTTTATGTAAACATAATTTAATATTTGAATCTGTTAACTTCATGACAAAATTTATCCCTTTTGTTATAACATTGATCAAATTTTTGTACTAAATTTGTCCTGAATTTATCATATTTTAATAAATTATACACATGATATATAATGCAAACCACTTTGAGGACAAAATTGTATATTTCCTTCAAGAGTGTGTTAAAATATTTTTACATTATAAGTGTAGTTAAGGTAGATTGAAGAATATATATATTACTTTCAAATAATATATATATATATATATATATATATATATATAATTTTACATTATAATATTTTTTATAATCCTATCTAACTCAAATAATATTACTTTCAGTTAAAACTTATTAAAAATCAAATGAAAATATTAAATTATTTTTTTTATACAATTTAAATAGAATATTAAAAATGACAATAAAAATAGATTATAATTTTTTATATAATCTTGTTTAATTTAATTAAAATACATTAATAATGTAAAAGTTATTTATGTTATCATCTAATCATCAATTGACACATTATTAACCATCATTGATTTTTATAATCAACCTTCATGATATAAATAAAAATATATTATATAAGAAGTGAAATATTTATTGAAACTACTCTCCTTCATAATTCGTCAAGTATACATTTCAAGATTAAAATTATTTAACAATGATACGTAATTTACACACTTACTTGCTGCAATAGTTTTACTTTTTATTCAACTTTTTGTTAATTTTGTTATATATCTTTAAGATTATAGTTGTTACTTAATTTTATCTTATTATTTTATATAAATTTTTACATTTTTCGTGAATACTTATTTTTATATTTATACAAATTTTTTTATTACTTTAAATAAATTTTTAAATTTTTTAATACTTATTTTTACATTTATACAAATTTTCTTATTAGCTTAAATAAACTTTTAAATTTTTCTATAAATACATACATTTATAAAATTGTCATTAATACTTTATATAAATTTCAAATTTTGTACAAATACTTATATTTGCATTCATAAATTTTATAATATTTAATCTATTTTTATAATATTCTTAGTAAAAATTTTTAATAATTACATATATTTAATTTTATAAAGAAAACATAATTTCTTCGTTAAAGATTATATTTATTACTTGTTAGTACCAATCCTATTTACAACAGGATTACTCCTCGAACGTGTAACAACAGGATTACTACAGTTATTAGTACTTTGATCATCACACTTTCTAGTTGATCAAAGTATGTAACATAATTTAAGGACAATCATTTTCCATATCCTCATGGAGGGAAGTAAAGGCATGTGTATCTCAATTTGTAACAACAAGGTCATAACTTGGGATACTAATTTCTTTTAAAATAACTTTCAAGACTTTTCACTCAAATACATGTCTTAAGCCTCATTTACATGATAGAAGTAAGGCTTTTTAATAACTTTTAAAAAAACCTTAAAACTATATATTAAAATTAATTATCATCATTTTTTTTAAACGACGATTATTGTTTTGAGCATTCTACCATCCTTTTATTTTTAATAAAAGATAATAAATACTAAAAAATATCTTTAGAGTATAATAAAAAAGAAACTATTAATTAAGAATTTAAAAAATATATTTTTGTTTTTTAAAAATGCTATTAACATACTCTAATATAATTTTTAATACATTTTAAAAGAATTTTTAATAAAAGTTTTCTATGCTTAATTACTTAATTATTTATTAAGAACATTGTTAACAAATCACATACACTTTGAAAATAAAAAGATGGTGATATGTAACATGTTAACATATTTTTAACTAAGTTAATTAAGAATGTTATAATATAAGATGACTAAAAAATTTCATTTTCATCTCTTCTACAATACTTCATAGAGAATGTACGCAAAAATAAAATATTCTTTATTAATATTTTTAATTGATATAGTTAGAGATATATTAATATGCTATGTTACATTTACCGTGCTGTATCTTTATTTTTATAAAAATTAATAAACAAATTCTAATAAAGGGACTAAAACAAATAACAAATAACACGTTTAAAGATGAATTTTAATTTTTTAATCTTACATTCTATAAAAAGTTATTTAATGATATAAATGTTTAAGTTTAACATCTTGTGTTAACTGATCTAATCAATTGTTAAATTTTAAAATTAGCAACTAAAATTTATTTTTGACTAAATAAAAGTTTTGGTCTCAACAAAATAACACATCGGAACCCAAAAAATTGTGAATGAATTTCTGGTCCCTAATTTAGTGGCTAAATTGCGATCCACTGAGTGTTCACAAATTGCAATGTGTAAACACAAATCTATATAATGAAATGAATGATGAAGCAACCTCATCCACACGTACCATATCCTTAGCTTGCAATGTTATCAAACTAGACATAACTTTCGCCAAATGTCACCGACCTTTCAAAACTTTAATATAAACGAATTATTATAAAGTGTAAATTCTTATTTTAGTTGCTGAGAGTTTAGGTCTAATATTTTAATTTTTAAAATATTTAAAATAATATGTTAATTTTTAATTTTTTAATTTTTAATTTATTTTAAATTTTAATTTTAGATCCTGTTAAAAAATAATCATAAAAATTTAAATTATCACATTAAATATTAGTCAAAAATTTATTTGATATTTCACGATGTTGTTTTGGAAAGTAATATAGCAAGTCTTTTACAAATGTCAAAAATAGTATGATTTTGTGAAATTTAAAAAAATCAATATAAATACATAATTATATATATATATATATATATATATATATATGATTTCTTAATTTTATATATAAAATAATTCAAATTAAAATTTTAGTAGACTCAAAATATTAGTACGTCACCTAATTTTTATATACAACAACAATTTTTTAAATTATTGATTTATTTTTAATTTTAATGCATTTTAATAATTTTGTTATGTGTTATTAACACTATTATTAATTAAAAGTTTATTATAAATAGTTTAATAAAATAATTTAATTTTCTTTTCTTGTTACTATTTACGAGGGCCAATGGCCTGATATTGATAATGAGATACGCGCAAGTGACTGGGTTGGAAAAGACTTGTCCTTGTGAATAGCGCTGTTTATTTCTGAGAGTGGCAGCATAAACTATTTTTTAAAGATTAACTATTTTATTAAAAAATAAATAGTGTAATAATTAAATAGATAATGTAATGTTAATGAATGATTTATTATAATAAATCATACAATATCAAAAAAGATATTGAATATATTGAAAGACTAATTTAAAATTAAATCCTCAAACGAAACACACACCAATCTTAATCAAATTTTTGTACTATGTGATACAAACCACTTTGAGGACAAAATTGTATATTTACTTCAAGAGTGTGTTTGAAAAATTGGCAAATAATTCGCAACAATAATAATAAATTAATACTCTATAAAAAATTCTTTTATTCTATTAATTATTTGGAAAAGACAACAGATTTTTTTTTATAATTCAAATATATTAATATACTATTCTCTACAAGAGATCATTCTAATCGAACCGAGTAAGTCAATGGGTGATAATATTTTTCTTCTATTTATTTAACACACTTGCACTAAGAAGGCAAACTCTAAAATACTAATTGCACTGAAAGTCAAACTTTAAAACACTAATTGATTTTATTAAAGATTTTTACATTGTGAATGACCAATTAAAATACATCATAGATAAGACTTATATTAATTATTATAAAAATTGATTCTCCATGATCGGGAGACAAAACAAATAATTTTTACATTGAAAGTGTAGTTAAGGTAGATTTAAAGATATATATATATATGCATTATCCTTTACTAATTCATTTATTTTCAGAAAAGAAATTAAACTTTGTTTATAAAATATACTTTTTTATGATCCTACCTAACTCAAATAATATTACTTTCAGTTGAAACTTATTAAAAATTAAATAAAAATATTAGATTATTTGTTTGTTTTATACCATTCAAATAGAATATTAAAAATGACAATACAAAATTTATTATAATCTTTTTATATAATCTTGTTGAATTTAATTAAAATACATTAACAATGTAAAAGTTATTTACATTATTATCTAATCATTAATTGACACATTATTAACCATATTAATTTTTGTAATCAACCTTTACAATATAAATAAAAATATACTATATAAGAAGTAAAATATTTATTGGAGTTGCTCTCCTTCATAGTTTGTCACGTGTATATTCTAAGATTAAAATTCTGATAAAGAGACTAAAACAAATAACAAATTACACGTTTAAGGATTAATTTTAATTTTTTTCCTTTGAGGAATTAAATAGAAAGATTTCATTACTTCAATTTAAATATCATATCTCATGTGTGTGGGTGTGTATTATTTAGAACTTTTTCGTTGTCAACTTCGTCTAATTTTAGAGTGAGAAATATAATTTGAATAAAAATTAATGTGAACAATTAAAATAAAAAAAAGGGTAAAATCACATATAAGTTAAAGTTTGAGGGCTAAAAATATAATTAACTCTATACTTTCGAGTCTTTTGAGGTATTTTACACTTCTTAAAGTGATTTTTTTTATTCAAATATCTCTATCAAAAGAGTTGTAATGTAGTCGTTGATCTAATTTATGTATTCAGTTAAATATTTTTTTAATTAAAATATACCAAAATTAACAATTTAAAAAAATGTAGAGAATAAATTAAATAAAATATCAGAATCAAAATCAAAATTCAGTATATTTTTGTTTTTATTGAAATTTAAACCTAAATAAAGAGAATAGAGCAGCCTCTCTTTTTTTTTCCTGTTACTTACGAAATTATTTTATATTAATAATTTTTTTTATTGATGTATAAATTAAAAATATAATCTTACAAAAATTAAAACTATAAAAAATATATAATTAATTTAAATAAATTGAAGATAAATAATTTATATTTACTTATAAATAACAATTAAAGATTTGAAGATAAACAACGGAAAAAAGGATAACTTATTATGACAAAGAAAAAGAAAAATCGTTCTCATTTTTGTTTTTGTCCTTAATTTTGTTCAGCGGAGAAACAAGCAAGCTGATAATAAAACAAGACAATACATTTTTTTTTAATGTACAAGACAATACAAATCATATTCTATTTATATTATTTGTTTTAAAATCATGCTGTGAAATATAATTTAATTTTAATTTATACTTCATCAATTCTATGATTTAGCTATATATAATATTAAAATTAATATATTTTGATAATTATAAGTTGGGTTGATCCTGATCCCAATCCCACATTATTCGAGTACAAAAATTGATTTGAGTCAAACCGGTTACACCGTATGTTAATTTTAACATTTATATTATTTAATAATTTATTATAAAATATGAGATTAAATAATATAATTATTAATTTAAAAGTTCATATTAAGTAGATTAATTTTATAAAAAAAAGAAATTATTAAAAACTTTATTAAATTACATTATTTTAATTAGGTCAATAATGTATGGTAGTTTTCCTCTTTGTGCTAGGTCTCTTTTGTTTTAAGGAAATTAATGAATTCTCGTTCGAGCGAGCCATGTCTTACTTAAGCGAGATTCACACAGTGACACTTTGACAGCTCTAGACTATCTTTCTCAAGCAAGACTCTCGCTCAAACAAGCCCTATCTTGCTCAAGCGAAATTGAGGCAAAATGCAAAACTCATTAGCACAAGGTTTTTGCTCAGGTGAGCCATATCTTGTCTGAGTGAGACTGGAAGACTTTGCGAATTTTGCTTCTTTTCGCTTCTTCATTTCATCAAGTCTTCCCTTAATATTTATCATATGAAAAAGGATCAAATGCCTTCATATAATTGACAAATTTAAAGCTATAACTACTAAATTTAAATGACTTGAATTTAAATAAAATGAAACAAAAATTGCATAGAATTTAAAGGAAATTTAGTGTAAAATAATTAAAAAGGAAATCAAATAAATGCCAAAATATACACTAAAGACTACTACAATATGACACTTATCAGGTCACAATTTAGTTGCTAATTGTGACTGATCGGTGAGCAAGTGTACTCGTCGAGAAGTAATAAAGAATTCTAAAAATTAAGTTCCCTAATTATCGTCGTATAAAGATTGGTTCCAATTATTAAAAATTTCCTAATTCAATTGTTTGAGTTTAACGGATGTGAAATTAAATTAAATAATAATAATAAATCAATTATCAATCAAGAACAATTAATGTAACACACTTCTTGGTTTAGCTTATAAAAGAGGAATTTAAGGCATATGAGTTTACTCATTCAATTCCTTATGTTATTCTTCTATTCAACTCTAAATTTGATTCTCTTGAGATTACCAATCATTCATATAAATATTATTAATATTCAATAGTCATGAAATATTAACATTATTTTTTCTAAATCAACATCCACAATGGTCATGCAAGACATCAATTAAATAAAGCATAATACACCTATGAATTTATTAATCTAATAACGATTGGAAGAAAAAGATTGATTTGGTTCACCTAATCTTTAATCTTGTTTTATTCTATAAATTTATTAACTAATAGAGGTATGATTGCCTACAATGTAATTAACTAGGGCTATGTTATGAGTGGTCAATTCATAACACACAATTATGCATAATAGGATAAATACTAATCACAAGTGGAAATCAAACTTAGATTCAAACACTAAAATTCCATAAAGTCATAAACAAGAACTCTTATACTCCTAACTATGAGTTTAGTTACTTATGCTAAAGAAAAAGACTAAAACAATTGTAAATAAAACAATAATAAAAAAAAGAAAATAGCTACTAGAGAGGAGATCCTAGTCTTCAAGTCTGATCGCTCAAAACTCTAAGTTTCACCAAGAATATGTTAGAAATCCCAAGAGTAGGATAACATAAAAGGTAAGAAAAGATTATTCGAAGAAAACAAAGCGTCTAATTACTGCTCCTTGAGTCTCTTTAACCTATTTTTTGTTGTAAGCATGGTTCTCGCAGGATAGCATGGTCATGCCAACTGTATATATGACCGTGCTTAAACTCAAAACATGGACGTACTATTCAATATGCACAATCGTGCATATTGTCGAAGCATTGGCGTGCTAACTGCTTGGGGTTGGGTGTGCTTTGTCCATATTGGCATAATTCTCTTAAGTTTGTGCTGAAAACATCCACAAATCATATGTATTCTTAAAGATGTTCATCTATAATAAATAATAGGACAATCAATGTAAAAACATTTTAAAATAAAGAATAAGTACGTATGAATAATTTAAAAAGTGTATCAAGATACAGACTTAGCAGTGACCCCCAAAATTTGGCCACTAAATTGCAACTAAGTGATTATAAGTGATTATAAAATTTGTTTTTATTTTTAAATACAGTTTTATTTTTTTAAATTATTTTAAAAAATAAAAATGTATTTAAAATTAAAATAGATATGCTCTTAGTTTTTAAAAACTTGGAAATCTTATAAATTATGTTTTCGGAAGTTTATTTGCTTTTGAAATTTAATTTCAAAAGTTAAAAAGATTTTAAAATCGAAAACTTTTAAATTATATTTTTAAAATTATATTTTTAGAAGCACATAGATTCTAAAACAAAAATTTAGAAGCGAAGGATTTCCAAAATCTTATTTTTTGACGCTTGTAAATTATAATTTCATAATCATGTTTATGAAAATTTATAATAATCCAAAATTCAATTAAAAATGACAAACTAATCGTGATAACAAAAAATGATTAACAAAAAACAATCAACAATTACTCTTTAAATACTGCCACAATGACTTGAGGAGGTAAATTAATGGATCAAAAAATGTACTGTGAAATAATAGTGATTCAATCGGACTATAGACATTGAATGGTGCATGATTAAAAACAAAAAATCATTATTACATTGGGTCAAATTATTTTTTATTATCACAAAAAGGATATTTAAAAATAAAAATAAAAAAAACAAAAATAAGGAAGGTGCAAGGAACAAAAGTAGGGTGCAAAAAGCAACCTCTCTTTTAGGAATAAGTTCTATGGTATTCATTGATTTCAAATTTTTATGTAAATTTATCTGCTTGTTTGAATTTTTTTTAATTCCAATAAATTGTTCTAAACATAATTCTAAGGCATCACATGCCTAAACAATTGTTTGATAATTAATTCCAGATAAGCTTAAACTTTAATCTTTTCACTAAGAAAACTTATTTTTCTTGTAAAACTTCTATTAGGATTCTAGAAATTTATTATAATATTTTCTTAGATTTTAAAATTAATTTCATAAGGCGAACCCTCTACTTTCTAATTCAAGAATCAAAGCTTCATAATTAATTTTACAACAAATAATATCATCAAAGGTAAACTTTTGTACTACACGTAAAATTTATTTTCCTGGTTGAAATTAAGTATATATTAAGGTAGTTTTTGAGAAATTTTGAAAACTTGTTAATGAGATGTTATTCATGGTTATATTTTCTCTGTGCCTATTGCTTTACATACATAGAGCAAGCAAAAGCATAAGCTAAAAAAAGGTGGTGAGAGAAAAGAAAAAAAGCAAGACGAAAGTGAGAGACTATGGCGAAAGAGGAATTAGGCACACCAACGCTCCTCACAGTTCATGCCACTTCGAGTCAGGTTCGTTGTAGTCCATCACCTTTCGTACTCAAGCTAATAAATGTAATACACACTTGTTCATTTCATGAACGCCTACAAGGTGTTTGACAAAATCAAAAAGTTTGAGTTGTAGCTTAAACGTGGTTTAATTGATGGAAGTTCATTTTTCTTGGGATTTGCTAAAGGGATATGTTTTAATTGTTGCCAATTGTTAGAAGAATAAAGGCTGTGTGTCAAAGATGACAATGTTACAATATGGGAGTCTTTATTTTTGCTTTAAGATGATTAGCTGGCTGTTTGCTTTGATACATAAGGATTTCACTGTAAACCTCATACTACCAGCTCTGCAAATGCTGAAAATTCATTGTTTTTTAACTAAATTCTTATGCTGATTTTTTCTTGGTAGCAGTCATTAATTCTTGCTGTACATGTCAACATGAGACTGTTCGGTTTAGAATATATAAAGTTCAGGTTCAGTTTCCTTGTCAATTAGTATCAGTTTTCTTCCAATTGAAAGCTAACTTGCATGGTTTTAACCTCTTAAAATTCACATTCTAATTCATTTTATTGAAATACTAGATGATTGTATTCAAATTGGAGCAAGTTTTCTGCATAAGTCACAGTTGGGTCTGGAATGCTTTTTGGTTATTCTTATATCTTAGTGTATGTTTGGATGAGCATTTGCAAACTTGAGTTTGAATGAACTTTATTTTGTAGAAATGATTTTATTTAAAAGTGGGTTTCAAGTGATGTGATTTATATTAGAAAACTATCACTTAAAAGTTTGTAGAAATATTCAGTATAAATTTTTCAACTCAACGCAAAAGCTATAATTTATCATGTTGACTCAAATATAAGTTTAGAGATAAAATCAATTATGTCATACAAATGCCAAACATGCTGGCACAAATTTCAAACCCCATTTACATCTTTAAAAATGAGTTTAGAAGCTTCCATCGCTCATCCAAACATGCACTAGACTCGGTGTTTCTCCCTGATTTCTGTCATGTTTGAAAGTTAAATGGTTCTTCTAGGTTGGGAAAAAGTTCATTGATTATCACATGGCTCTAGTAAGTAGCCTAGTGCTTACTTGGATCTAATGTAATAGTGAATTTTTACTTTTTAAAATATTATAATTATTGTCTAGTTGCTGATTCATGCCCTAGGTAACTTGAGCCTTTTTGCTGTTGTGCAAGAGTAGATATATGAATCATTTTGGGTTTGAGTGTCTGAAAAATTGCAACTGTCTTGTGTGTTGTCATCTTCATGTATTTTGGTAATAAGTGATTCTATGATAACTTCATTTTTATTGTTCTCTAGGTAAAAAGCATTGAGAAAATTAATTAGTGAAGTTTCCAATTCATAGTAAAGAGTAGTTTGATCCCTGTTGTGCCAAAAGTACAGAATTACTCATCAAAAGTGGCCACTCAATCTGTAATAGATATATTTTGGTAGTTAAATGTTCAAAATTCTAGATTTTCTTTTTCTAAAATTGAGTTCATAGCATACAACAAGAGTTTGGTATATCATTGTATTGCACTGCTCAATTTTAGTGACTTTGGTTTTTCAAAAACAAGAGAACTTTTTATTCAATATACATATGATCACTCTGCCATACAGACTCATCCGACAAATTTTATTCAATATAAAAATTTTATTCACCACTCTTTTTAGAGCTAAAATATATTATTACTCCTATATAAAGTATAGGCATTGAGTTTAAATGGTTGGTTGAATTATATTGGTTCTGTTACATGTTACATGGCTTTAATCTTGACTCTCATGCTTTGTTTAAAGTTAGATGCTTTGTAATCTTTGATATTGTAAGACAGCATGTTACTTGCTGAGAAACTATTTAGATTATATCTTTTTTAAAAAACTTAAGGTAATATTGCAATTTCAATTTGTTTGGTTAACTTCTTTGTTTATAAAATGTAATAAATGAGCTATTACTTGCATATTTTTCTGACAAGGCATTTGAACCCTGTGTTTGCTACTGGATCATTTGTTTTTCCTTCATCTCTTTAAATTGTTCTGAAGGTGAGTTTAAATCAACTTTACATTGATTAGCCAATTTCTTGAGTAGTTTTAAGTATCTCTCTGCCAGTATTTCTATGTAAAGACCGAACACATTTAAATATGTGACATCAGTTTGTTGTTAGTCTCCCAGTTAAGAGGACAATATTTTGTCATGGTAATTTGCTTTATTTTGAATAATCCCTGCTATTTAAATCATCTGCCTAGTTACTGTTTTACCACACATAAAAACTGCAATGTGGGGCAAGCATTGTTATCAATTAATTAATCATATGATACTCCAGTATAACAAAAGAATTTGAACTCAAAACTGCAAAATTGGAGACATTTTTAATTTGGAGTGAAATTTAGTATTTTAATTGGTGAAGTTTTTAGTAGAGAAGGTTGAAATCAATTAATTTGTGAAAATTTTGAGTAAAATGTGAATATTTGAGTTTTTGAGAGGAAAAATGGCTAATGACTAGACTAGATTTGCTTAATTTTAAAAAATAAAAAGAAACAATTGGGTATAGTTTTATCTTTTGAATAGATGTCATCTTTCCGTATGACAGCATTTGTAACAAATTAGTGGTGTTAACTCAATCACTAGATATAGTTTTATCTTTTCTTAGTGGGTATGAATAAATGCAGCTGGACTTGGGGTGCCCTTCACTTTTGTACTAAAAGACCAATAATTTTTTAATTAAAAAATGGGCTCAAAATTAATTTTATTGGAGTAAGAATGGAAAAACTAGTGAGTGCCTATTGTAAAAGAAAAGGAAGGTACTGATTGATTAAGAAAGGAGATGGTTTTCATTCTTATGTCTCTTGAGTTTTAGTCTTGCAAGCTTGCCTAAGAGGTTTTCAAGAAAATATTCGTCATCTGTTAGGTTGAAATAGCCAGGCATTGGGTAATATTTTATCTGTCGAAAACATGAAACTTCTAATTTTTTAATATTTGTTAAATTTCAGGAGAACCATGTGCTCTCTCTTGTGGCAATGTGGCTCTTCTAGTGTGGTTTTCTTATTTTTTATTTTTTCTGATTTTATAAATTTTTTTAAAAATTAACTCAATGACTCAACCTGAACCAATCAGAAAATGATCAGGTTGGTACAGTTCTAATTGTCATGAAAAAAAAAAGAAAAGGAAACTGAACCAATCCAAACCAATTATTTTTCATTAGTTTGGGCATGTTTTTCTACTAAACCTTACTTGACCTGACAACTCCCCTAATTACAAGATTGACTGTTGTTTGGTATTACATTTGGCTAATTCATTTCAAAGTGCATGTTCTGATGAGAGCTGTGTTGATTCTAGTCATATATTTTGCATTATAATGTATGAACTATGAACTGACTTATATGTTTATTCTTTGTCATTGCATTGTGTTTATCATTGTTAGTTTCAACATGGACATATACATTTCAATGCAGATATCATGGCTTTTGGTGATGATGTGCTGCATGCATGACATGCCACATTTTTGTGGTTTCACCGTTACACTTTCTCTTTTAACCACTAATGTCGAATTGGTAGTTTCAAGTAATAGTTGCATATTCTCCCATGACATGCCTCTTTGTTTAATATATGAAAAAAAATGATATTTTATCAATGCTCAGCCACATCTTTGCATTTTTTGTTTCTTTCTGTTTGTGACATATATCCTCATACACTTTCGCCCCTATTGATTTAGTAACTATTTTTCTGAGAAATTTGAACAGGTTTTATTTTTCTTATGCTACAAGGTGCTCCAGGACTATATTAGCTGATCAAGAATGGTGGTGGGAGCAACAATGCACCACAGATTTCTTCTTCGTTTTTGCCCTATTCTGAACCAATATTCTTCAGTTCGTTCAGTGTCTTCATTGCAAAAGCTTGAGCAGGCTGTTAGAGCTGAAGTAGAAGCCAAAAACTACATTAAAATTCCTGATCTACTCATTTCCTTGGATTGCTGCCAAAATTCAAATCCTTTTTCTTTCTTTTCTTCATTTCCTCAGAACTTACAAGTGCAAATTGTTGATGAAATGTTGCAATCTTTTATACCTATCAGACCACGCTCCAAGCCCCAGCTAGCTTATTCCTACCTTCTTTCTTACACCCTGCAAAGTTCTCATCCCCTTCCTCTTGCACTAGCTGTCCTACAACGGACTTTACGTTCTGGTTGCGTTCCAATTCCTCAGACTTATGTTCTCCTCTCATCTGTTTGGTTGGACCGGCAATGTCTGTCTCATTCTGTAGCTGATGTTTTACTTGAGATGCAATCAATTGGATATCGCCCTGACTGTGAGACTTGTAATTTTCTCCTATCATCTCTCTGTGCTGTTGATCAATTAGTGGAGGCAGTTAAAGTTCTGAGGGGCATGGGTGGGGCGGGATGTATTCCCGATTCAAATAGTTATGGCATTGTAATCAGTGCATTTTGCAGACTGAGAAAGACTGTTGAGGCACAGGATTTGATGAAGCAAATGGTAGTTCAATATGGTTTGACCCCAAGACAGGGAACACTGCTGAAATTGTTGGCAGCGTTACGGGCAAACAGGGAGATATGGAAGGCTGTTGAGATGATTGAGTTCCTGGAGAAAGAGGGTAACTCTGTTGGATTTGAGAGCTACGAGTTGGTGATTGAAGGGTGCTTGGAGAAACGTGAGTATATTTTGGCCGGAAAGGTTGCGATGAGGATGACAGAAAGAGGTTTTATACCATATATCAGTGTCAGGCAGAAGATAATTGAAGGTTTGGCTAGTGTTGATGAGTGGAAGATAGCTTGTGCCGTGAGACAAAGATTTGCGTCACTTAAATCTTAGTTGCATAAAAGCTAAAATGTATAAAACTTGCAACATCAATTGCAAAAGATGCAGGTTGATGTGCAAATACATCATTGTGAGCAGGTACAAACCATTTGATCCTTTATAAGGATAATCTTTATTCGTGGCTAGCCCACCATGCTTTGTGATTAATGTAAATGCAGTTTCCATGTGTTGCAACCTTTGTCCCTATTATCACAATCTGCAAGTTGACTGCATTAAAAACTACATTATCATAATCTGTGGCAAAGAAAAATATGTATTAAACATTTCATTAATTGGCTCCTCACTTTAGCATCATACTAATGTTTGTAAATAAAGTCATTTTCATACTTTTCTATTCATATAAATTTTACATTTTATGTCAAATCAATTTACGTTTAGGGTGGGATTTTGTATTCTTTTAGAGGGCATTTGACAAATGAATTATTTTATGTTTTTTAAAAATTTTAAGTTAAAAATGTTAAACTCTTATGTTTGGTATGGATACTTTAAAAGATTCTTGTGAGAAATGTGAGAATCTAAAATTTTTATAAAGGTAAAAAAAATTATGATATAAAAATTAATTTATATTAGCTCTCCATTTTATTATCGTCTATTTAAAATATTCATTATTAATTCGGTATTATAATAAAATATTATTTGAAGTCATTATCTTTAAAATTTTATAACCATCACTGTTAATATCGGTCAATGTAAGTCACTTTTATATTTATATGAAGTTCATTTTTTATTTTAATGTTTAAATAAGCATTAAGTTGGTTTATAAAATAAATAAATTTAATCAATTATTATTGAGTAAAAGGATGTTTCCGAAAAACATACTAATAGTTTTAGGAAATAATCTTTAAACTAAATATAATATCAGAATCTTTTCAGAAAATATTAATAACATTTTTAAAAGCATTTAAGATATATCAAACCCATTTTTTAACATTTCAGAAATTAAAATTTTAAGTTACACTTGTTGTATACTTCGGTTAGCATGTACAAAATTTCAATTGCATTTAATTTTTGTTTTTTTCATGTATGCATCATGTTATAAACGAAAAAAATAAAAGAACACTTCTCTATTCGCTATTCCCTTCTCATTCTACACGTGTTAGCCCATTTCTTCTTACCAAAAATTACATTGTATTCCTTTGCAAGTTAGCATGATATTTTGCAAACAATAAACAAATAAATAAAATAATGAAAAAACAACAAAAATAAATCCATTATTTCTAGGATACATACTCTCTTTCTTTACATAGCAGTACTCTCCTTCATGTAAGGTTTGTTTTTCTCTAATTTATTTTTTTAAAATTAAAAATAAAGAGAAAGTTACCAGATAAAGAAATAACTGGAAGGAATATGTATTCTGGAAGTACAAAAAATTTACTCAAAAACAAAAAAAAAAGATATTTTTCTTGCATTAATTAGCATTTAAAGAACTCATTATTTTTTAATTTTAAAATAAATGGAAAAGTAATAAAGAAAAGTTATATATAGTTTATACATATTTTTGTTTGCATCTATTAAATAAAGATGTTGCATCTAATATGAAATTTTTACATCTAATATGAAGTTTTTATATCTCATATTTAAACACTTAGATTATGTTTAATTTCTATTTTAAAAATAATTTTTAATTTTTAAAAATAAAATACAGTACAAATTTATACTATATTTTATTTTTAAAAACTAAAAATAATTTTTAAAATAGAAATCAAACATGCTCTTTTATATCCAAATTTAATTATAGTTTATCTTACGCTATTCTAACGTCCAAACAAAATTTTGTGCGCCCCTTATCTTTTCGCACCATAACTATGCACACCAAACCAAACATTGTTAGTTATGTCCATTCTCTTACACAGTAGCATTTTTATTTTTCTTATTATTTTAAAAAATGAATGCTTTGATGTTTCAGCCCAATACAGCATCTGGCTATTACCCACAAATCAGGACTTGCAAAAGCATGCGAGAATTGAAGCAAGTCCATGCCTTTCTGATCAAAACAGCACAAACCCATGACCCCACAGTGGCATCAGAGATCCTCAGGCTCTGTGCCACCTCAGATTTTCGCGACATTGAGTATGCCCTCTTGGTGTTCGACCAAATGCATGAACGAAACTGCTTTGCTTGGAACACTGTGATAAGGGCACTGGCTGAAACCCATGACAGGCACTTTGATGCCTTGTTGGTTTTCTGTCAAATGGTGACTGAGGCAGTGGTGGAGCCTAACAGGTTCACTTTTCCATCTGTGTTGAAGGCGTGCTCGGTCGCGGCTAGGTTGGAAGAAGGGAAGCAGGTTCATGGGTTGCTTCATAAGTATGGGTTGGTTGACGATAATTTTGTAGTGACTAATTTGTTAAGGATGTATGTCATGTGTGGGAGCATGGAGGAAGCTTGTGTTTTGTTTAATGGGAATGTTGATGGTGTTGCGGGCTTGGGGAGGGATAAGAGGAAGGAAGAGTTTAATGTGGTTCTATGCAATGTGATGGTTGATGGTTATGTGAGAATTGGGAACCTTAAGGCTGCAAGGGAATTATTTGATAGGATGGTTCAAAGGAGTGTGGTTTCTTGGAATGTGATGATTTCTGGGTATGCTCAAAATGGGTTTTACATGGAGGCCATTGAGATGTTTCATGGGATGATGCAGGTGGGAGGTGTGTCGCCAAACCGGGTGACTTTGGTTAGTGTGCTGCCTGCAATATCGCGTCTTGGGGCGCTTGAGTTGGGGAAATGGGTGCATTTGTATGCAGAGAGGAATAAGATTGTTATTGATGATGTGCTTGGCTCGGCTTTGGTTGATATGTATGCAAAGTGTGGGAGCATTGAGAAGGCAATTCAGGTCTTTGAGAGGCTGCCTCAAAATAATGTTATAACATGGAATGCTATTATTGGTGGTCTCGCCATGCATGGTAAAGTGGATGATTTGTTTAATTATTTGTCAAGGATGGAAAAATGCGGAATATCCCCTAGTGATGTTACATACATAGCCATCTTGGGTGCTTGTAGCCATGCAGGTTTAGTGGATGAGGGAAGATCATTTCTTAATGACATGGTTAATAGGGTTGGATTAGAGCCTAGGATAGAACACTATGGATGCATGGTTGACCTCTTGGGTCGTGCTGGCTATCTAGAAGAAGCTGAAGAGCTTATATTGAACATGCCAATGAAACCAGATGATGTCATATGGAAGGCCTTGCTTGGTGCTTGTAAGATGCATAAAAATATTGAAATTGGTAGGCGTGCCGCAGAAGTTTTAATGCAATTGACTCCTCATGATAGTGGGGCATATGTGGCTCTCTCAAACATGTATGCCTCATCAAGGGATTGGGATGCCGTTGCAGAGGTGAGGTTGATGATGAAAGACATGGACATAAGGAAAGACCCTGGATGTAGTTGGATTGAAATTGATGGTGTTATTCATGAGTTCCTTGTTGAAGATGATTCCCATACTAAAGCCAAAGACATACGCACAATGTTGAAGGAAATTTCAAACATGTTGAGCTTAGAAGGTCATAGGCCAGACACCACACAAGTGTTGCTCAAGATTGATGAGAAACATAAAGAAAGTGTTCTGCACTACCATAGTGAGAAGATTGCTGTTGCTTTTGGCTTAATTAGTACACCCCCAAAGACTCCACTTAGGATTGTTAAAAATTTGCGAATTTGTGAAGATTGCCATTCGTCAATGAAATTAATCTCCAAAATTTATGAGCGTAAGATAGTTATTCGAGATAGGAAGCGCTTTCACCATTTTCAACACGGTTTATGTTCTTGTATGGACTACTGGTAGTAATAGAGTTGCCAGTTGGTGAGGGCAATTACAAATGTCTATTATTCTAACTTAAACTAACTTCCCTTTCATATCTGTAAATAGAGCCTTTGTTTGTATTGATGAATGTACATCAAAGGGCATTTTTCAATGCTTCAGAAATAAGAATATCTTTCTTACTTATGGTCCTAAGCAAGTGATTGACATTCATCTTGCTAAGATTGACGAGTCTTAGTAAAATTAATCTAAAGTCCCATGGTTCCTTTATTTTTATAGAAACTAATGACTGTGTATATTCATGTCATGTTGGGTTAGAAGTATGAAGACTTCCCACACTACATGTGACCAAATAAATTTAGTTTTCATTCAAGTCTGTTAATTTCGCCTAAACTGGATGTCTATGATGGAACTTCAACTCTGCCACTTGAATCGTAATCACGTAATGAAAAGCCTCATTGATTTTAGACAGAGCAACTCAATGAGCTCCAATTTCTGCTAGAAAACCAGTGTAGCATTTTATCGTTTGTAAGCGTACAATTCAACTCCACAACAGACAAGGCCTGTTGTACTTACATTTTTCATTAACAAATCCGCCACTAATGGAAGGCCTGTCTTAGGCTTGCAGTTCCCACAGGAAATTTTTGGAAGTAGTCCTGAAAACTGAATCAATGTTAGGTACTCTAACAAAGGCATGCAGCAACGCTCCCACCCCTTTAAACTTGTTCAGTTAAACAATAAAGTTTTAGAGCTAGACTCAATTATTTACATGAGTTAAACTTAAGCTTTGTAAGTTTGATATTAATAGCTTGTAAGTAATTTGCATATATATATATATATATATAATATTATTTAGGCTAAATTAGTAATTCGGTCTCCTAACTTTCTCTTATTTTTTTTTTAGTCTCTTAACTTACAAAAATATTTTAAACACGTTCTTTTTCATAAAAACAATAACTCCATTAAAAACACATAATATATTTTGAATGTCTCCTTTTTTATTTTTCTTCTTATTCTTTTTTTTCCCTTCTTACCTCCCATCCATGTCACTCCTAACTCTGAATAGTATAATCATCCTTTAAAATCCATTTGTAAGCTTAAATGAATGAGTAAATAACATAAAATTTACATATCTTTTACTTGAGTTAAAGAGATTTTAGGAACACTCCAAAAAACTGATATTTTAAAAAAATTTAAAAATTGTACACAATTCAATGATATTATAAGATGAAGTGTCATAATAATATTTGATTTTTTTGAGGCATTATTTTCCTCAAACAAATCTTCCACTCTCATATTGGACTAAAATGTCCTTCGATAATTGTCTCATTTAGTATTTTGATCATCTATCCATTAAATCAAAGGACTTTGCAAATCCTATAGGTTTAAAGAGAATGATTGATTGAATTTGTGAAAAAGACATGTCATTAAATGTTCAAGAAGTGTCTTTATTAGCTTGCTACCTTGTAGAGCTTGAGGGATTATTTGGGAAAGAAAGTTTTCGAAGGGAGAGAAAGAGGGCAAAAATTACTTTTTAAATAAATTTATTTAAAATTAATATTTTTTTAAAAATAAAAGATATAATTAATACATAGTTAACAATTTTATTAAAACACACTTAAAGAATTCCAAAGAGAATTTAAAATTTAGTACCACATTGATTTTTGAATTTATTTATTTACTTGTAAAAAAATCACCAGAAACAATTGAATGTGACAAAAAAAAAATCCAATTTAAAATTTTGAATAACACTTATACAAGTTGAAATTAGTAGTATCAGTCTTGCAAGAAGCTAAAATATGTTCCATAATAATTTTTTATTAATGTACAGATATAAAGTGTCATTGTCTTTTTTTTTTTTAATATTCTTCTGACGATCCTCTTTGAGAAACAATTTTGACATTAAAATAGTATGTAGGTGAGATATTTCATGTAAATAATTTTTTTAAAAAGAATTTACAATTTTACAGATTAAAATTCATTGTTTGGATATTTAATTGTAAATAATTAATAAATATAAAAATTTTAGTGAAAATTTTTAATAGACTAAATCAAATAACTCTAAATCCTAGCCAAGAGTAAGAATTTATAATTATTTAGGCTAAATTAGTAGATTATCACCTAACTCATGGTTGATCTCTCTCTCTTTTTTTTTTTTTTTTGTTTTATTCTCTTAACTTACAAAAATATTTGAAATAAGTTCTTTTTCATAAAAAATAATAACTTTATTAAAAAATGATTATTCATTTCCTCCCTCCTTGTTAACTCCAGTGAAAACATAGTATATTCTGAAAAAAAATTTGGTTGTCTCTTTTTTTATTTTTCTTCTTATACTTTTTTTTCTCCTCTTACCTCCCCTTCATGCCTCCACTAACTCATTTATAAAATTCATTTGTAAGCTTAAATGAACGAGTAAATAACATAAAATTTACATATCTTTTAGCTTAGTTAAGGAGATTTTAGGAACACTCTAAAAAATTAATATTTTAAAAAATTTAAAAATTGTAAACAATTCAGTGATATTGTAAGATGAAGTGTCCTAACAATCTTTGATTTTCTTGAATATTGTTTTTCTCAAACAAATCTTCCACTCTTATATGGACTAAATGCTCTTAGATAATTGTCTCATTTATCATTTTGATCATCTATCCATTAAATCAAAGGACTTTGCAAATCCTGTAGGTTTAAAGAGAATGCTTGATTGAATTTGTGAAAAATACATGTCATTAAATGTTCAAAAAGTGTCTTTATAGGCTTGCTACCTTTATAGAGGTTGAAGGGTTGTTTGGGAAAAAAGGTTTTGGAAGGGAGAGGAAAGGAGAATAAAAAATATTTTTTAAAATAAATATATTTAAAATTAATATTTAAAAAAATAAAAAATATACATTAATACATAGTTAATAATTTTATCAAAACACACTTAAAAGAACTACAAAAAGAATCTAAAATTTAGTTCCACATTAATTTTTTAATTTATTTATTTACTTATAAAAAAAATAACCATAAACAATTGAATGTGACAAAAAAAAGTCCAATTAAAAAATGTTGAATAACACTTATACAAGTTGAAACTAGTAATATCAGTCTTGCAAGAAGCTATAATATGTGCCATAATAAATTTTCATTAATGTACAAATATAAAGTGTCATTGTCTTTTTTTTCTTTTTCTTTTTTATAATATTTTTCTGACGATCCTCTTGAGAAACAATTTTGGCATTAAAAGCGTATGTAGATGAGATATTTCATGTGAATAATTTATTCTTTTTAAAGAATTTAAAATTTTACAAATTAAAATTTGTTGTTTGGGTATTTAATTTTCAAGAATTAAAAAATGTAAAAATTTTAGTGAAAATTTTTAATAGACTAAATCAAATAATTCTAAATCCTAGCAAAGAGTAAGAATTTAGAATTACTTTTTTCATTTATTGTGTTTTTCATTCATATTTTTATTTAGTTATGATTAATTTAATAATATATTTATATTTTAATTACTTTTTTCAAATACATCTATAATTTTATTAAATGTTTACTCTATCCAAATAAAAATATTTGAAATGAAGGAAATTCAATTATTTTATAAAAAATTTTAAAATAATATAAATTTAAATGATATAATTTAATTTTTTTTAAAAATTAATTATTTCATTCAAACAATGCTTATTTAATAAATTATTTTTATAATTAATTAACCATGGAATTCATTACAATAAATTGAAAACACTTGATTTGGATAAGTTAATTATATTAAGAAATTTATTCTATAAATTAAAAATAACTTATTTTTATAAAGCATTTATAAAATTTTTCAAACAAGTCCTAATTTAAGTGTGACACCCTTACTACTTACTAAGCAATAAATATAAATATAATCATAAAATAACCAAGCAGTAAGAACATCACATGCATGGGTCTATATCTATTCAGATATAGTGAAATTAAATACACTACCATCACTAGAAGTATTCATTTCATATATACACATCATCTGTTAATTTATACAATCATCCAGTTATCTAAATATATACATAACTGAATTACAAACAAACTAAAGTGGGGTCACGATATCAGAGACGACAACCCAAAACGAAGACCTCACGAGCTTTCCCCTGGATCCCTGATCACCAAAGTGCCCATTTCCTTCCAAAATTCAACAACAGTAAGGTTAGGCTTCCTATATACCCATTTTTCTTTTCAGTCAAAAGTACTTACACCTACGTATATATATATATTATCCTTTACTCGACTCTAACCTATTCTCCTTTTTCACTAGATTCCTACTCAGAGGGGGCAAAATTAGGAAGGAGTCCTGCTTGAGAAGCAGTCCTCTTCCTTCCGATAGCAGTAGAGGTGTTTGAACAGTGAGAAGAATCAGGAGAGTTTGAAGAACTAGAGGAAGACGAAGAGGAAGTGGATGAGATAGAGATAGGTCTTGCTAAAAGTGTGTCAACTAAACTAGTTCGTTCAACAGATGGTAAATATGGTATAGAAGGACGTAAAGGTCTAAGAAAACCTGGGGGTAATACTGGGGGTGATAATACAGGAACAGGAGGTGGGGTAGGGGGTCTCACAAATTGTACATCTGGAGGAAATGGAAAAGTAAGTCTCATGGGTACTCGGATGGGGATAGGGTAAGCTCGTGGGCCTGGGCCATTTCTATCTAACAAAAAGGTAATAGAGCCAGTGTGGGTGAATCGTTGTTGCTCCCAGTCGTGCACCCATATTCCCTCAGGATCATATCTGATCGAGACGCTGAATTGGTACGGTGGTCGAGCCATCAATGTTCTCACCTAATAAACATATTCACACACAACACACATAGCAATAAAGGGGTGAGACAATTTAATTCAATCTCCAGCAGCAAAAGACATATAAGGGTTTCAATCACACAATTAATTATCAACACCCATAATCTACCAAGCAAATGCATATGCCATGAATGAGAAGTGATGCAAGTCCATTATTATAACTTAGTACATTTTGACACATGCATGTGGGCCCAAAACCATCAATATGTTTCTTTTACTCAGGGAAGGATCAGGAGTTTCACTGTTACTTATCTGTCAACTTTGTTCATCTCATAATACAGTAACAGCTCTACTAATACAAGAATCTCTCGGGACCAGTCAGGATAGTAAAGTTTTGTAGTGAGAGTCTACAGCACAAGATGGGGAGC